TCCAGTACACTTGTGCGGCACTACTTTATGAATAAAGGAGCCCAAGTTTATAATTTGGCTGGCATTGAAGAAGGAGTACCTGGTGACAAAGGCATTAGGTATCTGAGTCCCCAACACTTCATAGACCTTGTTACCACATGGGATAAAAAGACAAGTGTGGTTCACAAATAATGTCAGAGTGAAATTTGTGGCCCAACAGACTGAGGTCTGTTGTGCTTTTTCTTCTGTCTTACTGGCATCTGTGTATCTACGTGCATCCATGTCAGTCCATAGAAGCAGAACAGATTGCACAATATCAGACACAGGAGACCTTTAGTTTGGTTTTGGCAGCTATAGGGCTTGATTTTGTCACCTGGCAAAGTTTTTCCACATTTTTGGAATATCCACCATGCTATCTCCATGTAATCTTTGGTGCCTATCAGTCTAGTGAGAGGAGCGAGTGAGCAAATCCAAGTTGCTCAGGGCTGACTTCTGGGCCATCCATAACATCTGGTGATGTGGCAAGTGTTTGGACCATAAGAGTCAGTGCAAGGACCATTTATGACCTTCATGAGAGGCTTATGTGTGCCATCTGTGGAATCAAATCACAGGATTTGGCTGGGCTTGGTGGCTCACTCCTGTAATTCCAGCACTTTGGGAGGCCAAAGCAGGCAGATCATGAGGTCAAGAGATCGAGACCATCCCGGCCAACATGGTGAAACCAGTTTCTAAAAATACAAACATTAGCTGGGTGTGGTGATGCATGTCACTGCACTCCAGCCTGGTGACAGAGTGAGACTCCATCTCAAAAAAAAAAAAATCTGGATATTAGCCCTTCGTCCAGGGGGCTAATCTACCCAGATGGGTAGATTGCAAAAATTTTTTCCCATTCTGTTGGTTGTCGGTTCACTCTAATAGTTTCTTTTGCTGTGCAGAAGCTCTTAAGTTTAATTAGATCCCATTTCCCTATATGGCTTTTGTTGCCATTGCTTTTGGTGTTTTAGTCATGAAGTTCTTGCCTATACCTATGTCCTGAATGGTATTCTCTAGATTTTCTTCTAGGGTTTTTCTGATGTTAGGTCTTATGTTTAAATCTTTAATCTATCTGGAGTTAATTTTTGTATAAATTGTAAGGAAGGAATCCAGTTTCAGCTTTCTGCATATGGCTAGCCAGTTATCCCAACAACATTTATTAAATAGGGAATCCTTCCCCCATTGCTTGTTTTTGTCAGTTTTGTCAAGGATCAGATGGTCATAGATGTGTGGTATTACTTCTGAGGCCTCTGTTTGTTCCATTGGTCTTAGCAAACTGACAAAAGAGCAGAAAACCAAACACTGCATGTTCTCACTCATAAGTGGGTGTTGAACAATGAGAACACATGGACACAGGGAGAGGAACATCACACACTGGAGCCTGTCAGGGAATGGCAGGGGGGAAGGGATAGCAGGGGGTGGGGCAACGGGGAGGGTTAACATTAGGAGAAATACCTAATGTAGATGATGGGGGGATGGATGCAGTAAGCCACCATGGCACATATATACCTATGTAACAAACTCGCACATTCTGCACATGTACCCCAGAACTTAAAGTATAATAATTTTTAAAAAATCACAGGTTTTGATTATACTACCGCCTTGGGAAGTTACCTATGAAAGATCCTGCATCATCTCTACTTTCAAAACAAAGGGAAAAATTCCTTTCTAATGTCTTTACCTAAACAAAGGACAGTCATCAAGCTTTTATAGAGGTGTCCAACTCACCAAAAAGAGTAGTGTGACATTGTTTTCTTGGTCATGGATGCCATACCTTGTCATGCATCCATGCTCCAGATTTGAGCCACCAGGCACTTGCATCAGCAGGAACAAAAATAAGATCAGATTATTTTAATTAATCTAGATGCTAATATACCCAGCAGTCAGACAGGTTAGTTCACATGGCCAGGGTTTGTAAGACTGGAGCAAAGGGATGTCAGTTCTGTACCTAAACTCTTAAGAAAACAGCGAGGGTTAATAATAGTAAGACACAGTTTGAAAGAAAGTCCACAGTGAAGGATCAGAGGGAGAATCAGATAGACTGAGACAGTCTCCAGTCAGCTTTTTCAATAGATGCTCAAAGAACAAAGAAGACTTTGTGAAGAAAAGAAGAGAGTTTTTAAAGGGGTTTTTGAGAGAAAGTAGCGAGACCCAGTTCCTGTTCTAACAATGTACAGCCTCACTTGGGCCCTAACACCACAGAGAAGTCCCATGAGGACTGGGGAAGCTATCATGCTCATTCACACAACATTGCTCATCGATTGAGAATTGGTTTAGATGCATTAACTCCTTCTTGCTTCCAGCCTACTCCATGAATGGTCTGAGCACACCCCCATAAAGTAGAAAGCCATTAGTGTGTACAGGACTTGTCTTCAGTAGCTCAAGACAGACAATCTCAAGGGTCAGCCAAAGAGGATACAGGTGGGTACCACCAGCATCTGCTGTACCATACTTTCCAGCCCCAAATACCTTTACTTTTACTCTCATTTTCCTAGGATTGCATTTTCCAAATAAACCATTTAGATTTAATCCCTGCTTCAGCATATGTTTTCTAAGGAACCTGGGTGGAGTAGATGCTGAAAACCCACCCTACATCTTCTTGTCCCACTTGAGTTCACTTGCAGCCACGGTAGACAATTTCCATGCTCTGAGAGCTTACCACTTCAAGTGCTGACATCTCACATATTCTTTTCCTTAGAGCTTTTTCCTGAACCGTGGAGTATTATTCCAAGCTGTGTTTCACATGACTTCTCAGAGAGCCCACAGGAATGACTCCAGTAGTACAAAGAGAAAACTTGTTCATGAGTCTATCCTGTTTTGTGCTTCCCCAAAAAAACTAACTCAACCTGAATCCTGTCTCTGGGTCTGATTTTTGGGCAATCTAAGTTAAAACAGGAGGTAAGACTCTATGCTTGTTATAAAAAGGTTAATTATATCCATCAATCCTGATATAATTGATAATATAGCTCTAAGTAACTCAATGAATATAAAGTATATAGCTTTTCCAAAAATAAGAATATTGCAAAATGCACTGCTTCTTGTAAAAATTTACAAGTAAATTAAGGTGACTCTAACAAATTAACTTTCAAATGCAATACAGGATCCCAGTTTACCACCAAAGCAGTGATCAAGGATTTATTCTATAATGTGTAACAGGACAACTTGCTACCCATTTGGAAAAGTATACAATTAGGTATCTATCTCATTCCTTACAGCAAAATAAATTCCACAATTAAGAATAAAAGTAATTCCTGACACCAAAGTAATTCCAGAAAAAATGGATTATTTCAAAGTAATCTCAAGCAGAAATACAAAACTCAGCAAATATAAAAGAACATTAGGCAGATAAACTTTACTGTAATCAACTTCAACAGTTTTTTACAATAAACCATTTCAAAAAAGAACCAACAAACTGGAGCAGCTATCTTCGTCTCCATATGGACGTGCACACTTACAAATGTGGAACTTTCTCTGATTTAACCAGATTGTATTCGTGATTCACTCCTCCCTCCTTGTATGGCTCCACTAGATGCCCTTTGTCCTAGCACATTATTGGACCCTTTCCACCTCTATTCCTAGAGGGCATCAAACCATAAAGGAGTGACCACAAAGTGACAGGGGCACACAAGTGGAACTCCTACCATTTCATAAGGGATGCTTCTATGAACATATAATATTTAGCCTCTATTGAGAGAAAATACGAGTTTTCCAGGGTAAGGGAGTAGGAGGAGGGTGGTAAACAGCATTCGGGGAATGAGGATGGCATGTACAAATACACAGAGAATGACACAGCCAAATATATTGTAAACATAAAATAGGTAGAGTTGGAAAGTGTAATGAAAAATGATATTCAAAAGGTCATTTGACTCAATCTACAGAGTGCCGCTCAGAAGTTAACTGAATCAAGGCTACCTGGTTCAATCTGTATTTTCAAGAGACAGGCTTTCCATAAACGCTGAGAATAGATGGTGGAGAAGACACACTGGGGGCGGGGGCGGGGGGGGGTGGCGGAAGACCAGAAAAGTATGCCATGTTCAAACAGCAGAATTTTAAATAAACATATTTTAAGTATTCAAAGTTTAATTTTGAGTAAGCGATCCAGTAGTTTAAAAAAGAGGATGAGAATGACATCTCCAAGGTAGCACAATATTATTTTCACTTTTCCTGATGAATTTCTTTCTTTTCTTTTTTTGAGACAGTCTTGCCTGTCGCCAGGCTGGAGTGCAGTGGCATGATCTCGGCTCACTGCAACCTCCGTGCCCTGGGTTCAAGCAATTCTCCTGGTTTGCTGGGACTATAGGCACATGCCACCACACCTGGCTAATTTTTGTATGTTTAATAGAGACGGGGTTTCACCTTGTTCGCCAGGATGGTCTCGATCTCTTGGCCTCGTGATCCACCTGCCTCGACCTCCCAAAGTGCTGGGATTATAGGCGTGAGCCACCGTGCCCAGCCTTGTGATGAATGTCATGTATTTAATATGCCATTCAAATTAATTACTTCATTTAAGTATTTATTGTGTGATAAGCACTGTGTACTGTTGTAGGTATTGAGGATACAATAGTGAGCAAAACAGTTAAAAAAAACCCGCCCTCATGGAGTTTATATTTTGATATGCCAAGCAAATGCTCCAAAACAAATATCCAAACTGCTGAATTAAGACAAAGAGCTAGGAAGCACACAGGAAGCAAGGTCAAGAGCTTTTATCAGACAAACTACAATTTGTTTATACTTAATAAATATTCACTTATTTATCTCTTTTGGTTACCAAATAAACCAAAAAGTTGGGTGGGACAAATATTATTATCATCCCTATTCCTTTTCATATTTTGAAGCAGAGTGTCAGAAAATTTAATTTTCCCATACTGATAAATGTCAGCAGCAAGGTAAGCCTCTCCCCTGGACACTCTGATGCAGACATATCTTATGCCGTTTCCATAAGTCATCTCTACCCACAAGAAACAACAAAGACTAAACAAAACAAGGACTAAACATAACAAGGATGTACCTTTATTTGCTGCTTAAAAAAATGAACAATAGATAGAAACATGTAAAGAATCACCTGCACGTAATGACAACGTTTGTGGTACTGACGTAAGGAAAGATCTTTGCAGCGTTCTGGGAATGATCAGAAATGTGCTGACTTTCAGGGCTGTACTAACATTTCTACTGCCAAGACACTGAAGTGTAATAATGCATGGAATATTAAATTAGAGACATTTTCTTAACCTGATGGATGAGCTTTAGTCTCCTTGGGACCAGAACGTTGTCGTCGATATATAAGAAGCCCAACAGTAAACAGGAAAACTAAAACAGACAAAGAAGGAATCACAATCACTGTCAAGAAAACTCTTCTCTTTGCAGATGCTGGGCCACTGTCGACACTACCCCCATAGCCTCTGTGCAGGCAGTAGGGTGGGGACCACCCATAGCCACAGTGGCAGTGATGTTTGTTATTGCAGATTCCCTTCATATTGCAGGTCTCAGGAAGGCAGACGTGTGACAAGACAGATAGACTGACACACTTCTTGTGGATGCAGATCTTCCCTGGGCCACATACTGTACCATCTTTCACTTCACCAGTGTCAGGTGTATTCATCCTTAAATGGTAGTCAATACTCCAGCAGGTGACACCATTGATATAAGCATGCTGCAGAGTAAAATGATCTTGGAGAAGAGGAATGGCTCTCACGTTCTCACATTGAACTCTCCCACAGAAGACATCAGAGATATGACATTTTAGGTATGTCGTGCCATTTACACCACAGTGACCAAAACGGTTGCCCTGAGAGTTGATTTCTTTATAGCAATTCTGAGATGCACTTTTTGCATCTTTACCAAAAATCTCCCTGCAATGCTGGTCATGGTTACTACATCTCTTTTGATAGCAGTAGGCACTGTCACTACAGGGGACTCCGTCCTGCACATATCTGTCCTCTGGACACTGATGGGATGATCCATTGCACCATTCTGGAAGGTCACATTCATTGACCTTTTGTCTACAGAGTTCCCCTGATGGCATGAACTTGCAGTCTTTGCAACAAAGCCCAAAAGCACAGGCAGCTCCAGGCCTCAGAGTGCAGTTCAACAGACAACAGGCATCTTGTTCACATTGCTGTACAGATCCACAGTCACACTGCTCTTCTCTTTCAACCACGCCATTCCCGCAGCGCTTTAGCGTAAAGATTTCCCCGAATCTGGGAGGATCATGCAGACATGATCCCTGGTTTAAAGTGGTCTTCATAAAATCAGCATAACTGCAATTGGTGAATTTCTCTGCAGGCACTCTGAAAGTACTCATGATGCAACCTCTTTCCCCACAAAAACAGAATTCTTCATCATGCCGCATACCCAAAGTATGACCTAACTCATGGGCCACAGTGTTGGCAAAAAGAGACCAGGTATCTCCTTGAAAATTATCAACTCCACAATCAATAGGTGGACGACATATTCCTGCAATGTAGGCTAGACCAAGTATACTTATAAGTGAATTTTTTATGAACATATGTGCAGCATCATGCTGTAGCTGAGAAAGACTGATGTGTTTCCATTGAGAGAAATCGTTCAGGACCTGTTCTATGCTTGTCATTGGGAAAACATTTCCTTGATTCCAAATTTCAATTCCAATCAAAATTATGTAAGTACCTAATTGCTTATACATGGAATCCACTATGTTGACAACAAGAAATACATCCTCTTGCGCCTTTGAGATGTTGCTTTGAGAGTAAATGAAGAAATCATGATTCACCACAACAACCAGCTCCAGAAACCATGCATGGGTCCACCAGCCACCAGCAGAATTTGGTCCCAGAGCTGAGTTCTCAGCCTCTTCAGATTCCAACTGTTGGCGTGCTACTTCCTTCTCTGTTAAGCCACATCTCATAGCTGGGAATTGTGTCTCGTTACTGTTTATCTTATAAATCAGGTGTTCAAATGTGGCAGAATGCTTGATGGGTTCAATTTCATAAGTGAGACCATTTATTTGTAATACTCCTCGCAAGCCCCCAAAACAAGCGCTGAAAACAACCAAGGATTCAGGGGCCCCTTCCACGAAACCATGATAGTAACAGTCATCTGGGATGAAGGGCTGATCCTCCAGGAGGGCTCGCTGCTCTGTGTAGGTGAACACTGGGAGGTGTCTAGAAACCAAGAGCTTCTTGACCCTCATATGAACAACGTGTCTCTGGCTCCCAAACCGCAGGCTATAGGACAACCATCCAGGAGCCTTTGCACCTCTGCCCCTGCTGATCACCTTCAAGGGGATGACCACTTCTGGGGAAGTGAGATGCTGGGAGGGCCCAGCCTGAAAGTAGCCAGAAATGGACAAAAACACCCCAAGCAAGAGCAGCAGAAGAGAGACCCTGATGTGCAGCAGGGTCCCATCTACTAACATTATGAAGCTGTTGTTATGGAGCCATCTGTCCAGAGCAGAAGAGGACAAGGTGTGAGGTACCGCTGGTCTGGCTCCTCCCTCTGAGCTACTTAGGATGCAGGGCTGACCCTATGGATATGTGTTCCGGCAAAGTTAGATGAGAACTGCAGTGTTGGAAGTAAAAATAAAAAGATAGGTTGGAACGGGGATAAGAAAGGAAATCAGGTGAGAGAAAGAATGGAGTGGTGAAAACCTGGTTGATGAATCAAGAAAATGCTTTAGATTTGCTTTTAGTAGATGGGGGTGGGGAGCTGGGATCATAGATAAGACAACATTGGCCAAGTGGTGAAACTGTTAAAGTTAGAAGATGGGGACTTAAATGGTGACCTCAGTCTTTACAGGCAGTATGAAAATGTCCATCATAAAAAGTAAAAGCCAAAGTAAAAAAGCTTAAGAGTAGGGTGGCTCTATATCTCAATTTGTCCAATACAATATTGGTGAATGCCTGTTGCTTTTGTAATAGCTATTGATAGTGTCTCCTTTGACTGTCAAAACTGGAGACATCAAAAATAATCACACTTCTGTGTTGAGTTGTGTCAGTCTTATGATGTACTATAGTTTCTTTATCTCTAAGTTATTTTCTATCTTCTCATTGTATTTATCTTTGCTCATAACTTTATTAGACTGCAAGATTCTTGACTGCAGAGTTTATGATTTTCATTTATTTTAGTATCTTCTATAATGACTTGTATAGCTCTGTGTACAATGAAAAATAGAAAAAAAGAGGAGAGGTGGTGAAGTATCTTGGATTAAAAATGAATGCTACTAAAATGTATTCATATAGTATTATAATTTTTTAGAAAAGAAAAATATTTATAAAACACTGACATCATTTAAGGGTATGGAGAGCGTAATGTTTTTCTCCCCAGTTACTGACAGGAGAGTACCAAAGATGAAAGGAAATGCTTTCAGAAGAGAAAATGAGAATCTCCGCAGGTTAGAGGTCTTGGGAAAAGAAACTCTTGTCACTAAGGAAAAACCATTGGAGAGTCTGGTATTTTAGGATTGGCTGGGAAAAGTCCCAATATTTGCTCATTATATTTACCAACAGTTTTTGAAAGTGGGGAATTTCTGCACCTGTCATACAATCTGGCTGGCAATAGTCATTGATTCTTTCTCTATTTATTAAACAAGTCTTTATGTGTTTGGAGCATACAAAGTGCAGGACATTGTGCTAGATATTAGAGAAAGAAAATCAAAATACAGTACGTTAACTAAATGATCAGTTTAGTGCAGAAACTTGTGGCAAGAGTAAAAATAAGCTTCAGGAGGTCTATAATATTGTATTCAATATTTTACATATTTTGTGCCTTTTTTTTTTTTTTTGCTGAGAAGAGTGCCCGTATATTTCATCATAGTCTCAAATGACAGTTAAAAGTGAGGCTAATAAGCGCTGAACCTGTGCAGAAACAAACAAATAAATAGATAATTATAATATGATCAAAACCAGATTGATCTGAGGATTACAAAGTTTATGCTTCAGGAATCCTCATTGTACAGACCTCCATAAAGACCCTGAAAGGGGCTAAGCAATGGACTTTATGAAAGTCATCAAATTATGAATGATCAAAATTAGTCACTGTACAAGAAAAATCTGAAATATTATAATTGAAAACCCCTGAAATATTATAACTCATACATAAAAGACTTAGTAAAGATTTTCTAAAATTTGACAATAGTAAATTTAATTTTTTATCTCATTACCAATATAGTTATTTTGTATTATTAATAGTTTAGAACACTCAGGTTCTAAACTATTAATAATACAAAATAAATTTTTATTAAACATGCTAGGGAAAAGCAAATGCCTTTCACTTCTTTCCATATAAATTATAACAAAATAATACTCTTAAGGAAGGCAATTAAATAAGAAGTAATTTAAAAACTATAGGGAGGGATTGCTAGCAAGATGGCTGAATAGGAACAGCTCCAGTGTGCAGCTCCCAGCAGATCAATGCAGAAGGTGGGTGATTTCTGCATTTCCAACTGAGGTACCTGGTTCATCTCACTGGGACTGGTTATACAGTGGGTGCAGCCCAAGGAGGGCGAGCCAAAGCAGGGTGGAGCATTGCCTTACCCCGGAAGCATAAGGGGACAGGGAACTCCCACTCATAGGCAAGGGAACCCATTAGGGTCTGTACCCTGCACTCCAGGGCCAGACACTGGGCTTTTCCCATGGTCTTTGCAACCCACAAACCAGGAGATTCCCTCTGGTACCTACACAACCACCAGGGCCCTAAGTTTCCAGCACAAAACTGAGCGGCCATTTGGTCAGAAACTGAGCTAGCGGTAGTGGTTTTATTTTTTCATACCCCAGTGGTGCTTGGGACACCAGCGAGACAGAAATGTTCACTCCCTGGAAAGGGAGCTGAAGTCAGGGGGCCAAGTGGTCTGGCTCAGTGGGTCCCACTCCCATGGAGATCAGCAAGCTAAAACCCACTGGCTTGAAATTCTCACAGCCAGCACAGCAGTCTGAGCTCGACCTGGGACACAAGAACTTGGTAGGGGAAGAGGCTTCCACCATTGCTGAGCCTCAAGTAGATTTTAACCGTACAGTGCAAACAAAGCCACCGGGAAGTTCGAACTAGGCAGAGCCCACCACAGCACAGCCAGGTCACTGCAGGCAGACTGTCTCACTAGATTACCGCCTTACTGGGCAGGGCATCTCTGAACAAAGGCATAGCCCATCAGGGACATATAAATAGAGCCCACCTGGGAAAGGGTGGTTGTGGGCACAGCTTCAGCAGACTTAAACGTCCCTGCCTGGCAGCTCTGAAGAGAGCAGCAGATCTCCTGCACAGCATTCAAACTCTGATAAGGGACAGACTGCCTCCTCAAGTGGATCCCTGACCCTCGTGTATCCTGGCTGGGAGACACCTCCCAGTAGGGACTGACAGAAACCTCATACAGGAGAGCTCTGGCTGGCATCTGGTGGGTACTCCTCCAGGATGAAGCTACTAGAGGAAGGAAAGGCAGCAATCTCTGCTGTTCTGCAGCCTCCACTGGTGATACCCAGGCATGCAGGGTCTGGAGTGGACCTCCAGCAAACTGCAGCAGACCTGCAGCAGAGAGGCCTGACTGTTAGAAGGAAAACTAACAGAAAGGAGTACTGTCAACATCAACAAAAAAGACATCTACTCAGAGACCCTATTCAAAGGTCACCAACTTCAGAGACCAAAGGTAGATGAATCCACGAAAATAGGGAAAACCCACCACAAAAAGGCTGAAAATTTCAAAAACCAGAATGCCTCTTTTCCTCCAAGGGAAAACAACTCCTCTCCAGCAAAAAAAACAAAACTGGACAGGGAATGAATTTGATAAATTGAAGAAGCAGGCTTCAGAAAGTGGGTAATAACAAAGTGCTCCAAGCTAAAGGAGCATGTTCTAACCCAATGCAAGGAAGCTAAGAGCCTTGAAAAAAGGTTAGATGGATTGCTATCTAGAATAACCAGTTTAGAGAAGAGCATAAATGACCTGATGAAGCTGAAAAACACAGCAGAAGAACTTTGCAAAGCAAACACAAGTTTTAATAGCCAAATCAATCAAGCAGAAAAAATGTATCAGAGATTGAAGATCAACTCAATGAAATAAATCAAGATGACAAGATTAAAGAAAAAAGAGTGAAAAGAAACAAACAAAGCTTCCAAGAAATATGAGATTACATGAAAAGACCAAATCTACATTTGATCAGTGTACCTGAAAGTGATGGAGAAAATGAAATCAAGTTGGAAAACACTCTTCAGGATATTATTCAGGAGAACTTCTCCAGCCTAGCAAGACAGGCCAACGTTCAAGTTCAGAGAATACAGAAAACACCACAAATGTACTCCTTGAGAAGAACAACCCCAAGACATATAGCTGTCAGATCCATCAAGATGGAAATGAAGGAAAAAATGCTAAGGGCAGCCAGAGAGAAAGATCAGATTATCCACAAAGGGAAACCCATCAGACTAACAGTGGATGTCTCCAAAGAAACCCTACAAGCCACAAGAGAGTGGGGGCCGATATTCAACATTCTTAAAAGAAAACAATTTTCAATCCAGAATTTCATATCCAGCCAAACTAAGCTTCATAAGCAAAGGAGAAATAAAATCCTTTACAGACAAGCAAATGCTGAGAGATTTTGTCAGGCCTGCCTTACAAGAGCTCCTGAAGGAAGCACTAAACATGAAAAAGAACAACCTGTACCAGCCACTGCAAAAACATACCAAACTGAAAAGATTATCAATGCTATGAAGAAACTGCATCAACTAAAGGGCAAAACAACCAGCTAGCATCATAATGGCAGAATCAAATTTACACATAACAATATTAACTTTAAATGTAGATGGGCTAAATGTCCCAATTAAAAGACATAGACTGGCAAATTGGATAGTCAAGACCCATCAGTGTGCTGTATTCAGGAGACCCATCTCAGGTGCAAAGACACACATTGGCTCAAAATAAAGGGATGCAGAAATATTTACCAAGCAATTGGAAAGCAAAAATAAATCAATCAATAAAAAGCAGGGGTTGCAATCCTAGTCTCTGATAAAACAGACTTTACCAACAAAGATCAAAAGAGACAAAGAAGGGCATTACATAATGGTAAAGGGATCAATGCAACAAGAAGAGCTAACTATCCTAAATATATATGCACCCAACACAGGAGCACCCAGATTCATAAGGCAAGTTCTTAGAGACCTACAAGGAGACTTAGACTCCCACACAATAATAGTGGGAGACTTTAACATTCCACTGTCAATATTAGACAGATCAACAAGACAGAAAATTAACAAGGATATTCAGGCCTTGAACTCAGCTCTGGACCAAGTGGACCTAATAGACATCTACAGAACTCTCCACCCCAAACCAACAGAATATACATTCTTCTCAACACCACATCACAGTTATTCTAAAATGAACCACATAATTGAAAGTAAAACACTCCTCAGCAAATGCAAAAGAATGGAAATCCTAAGAAACAGTCTCTCAGACCACAGTACAATCAACTTAGAACCCAGAATTAAGAAACTCACTCAGACACACAGCTACATGAAAACTGAACAACCTGCTCCTGAATGACTACTGGCTAAATAATGAAATGAAGGCAGAAATACATACGTTCTTTGAAACCAATAAGAACAAAAACACAATGTGCCAGAATCTCTTGGACACGTGTAAAGTAGTGTGTAGAGGGAAATTTATGGCACTAAATGCCCACAAGAGAAAGCAGGAAAGATCTAAAATTGACACCCTCATGTCCCAATTAAAAGAACTAGAGAAGCAAGAGCAAACAAATTCAAAAGCTAGCAGAAAACAAGAAATGACTAAGATCAGAGCAGAACTGAAGGAGATAGAGCCACAAAAAAAATCCTTCAAAAAAATCAATGAATCCAGAGCTGGTTTTTTGAAAAGATCCCAAAATAGATAGACCACTGGTCAGGCTAATAAAGAATAAAATAGAGAAGAATCAAATAAATGCAATAAAAAGTTATAAAGGGGATATCACCACCAATAACACAGAAATACAAACTACCATCAGAGAATACTATAAACACCTCTGTGCAAATAAAACAGAAAACCTAGAAGAAATGGATAAATTCCTGGACACTAACACTCTCCCAAGACTAACCAGGAAGAAGTCGAATCCCTGAATAGACCAATAACAAGTTCTGAAATTGAGGCAGTAATTAATAGCCTACCAATCAAAAAAGTCCAGGACCAGACTGTTTCACAGATGAATTCTACCATAGGTACAAAGAAGAGCTGGTACCATTCCTTCTGAAACTATTCCAAACAACAGAAAAAGTAGGAATCCTCCCTAACTCATTTTATGAGGCCAACATCATCCTGATAACAAAACCTGGCAGAGACACAACAAAAAAATAAAATTTCAGGCCAATATCCCTGATGAACATCGATGCAAAAATCCTCAATAAAACAATGGCAAACTGAATCCAGCAGCACATAAAAAAGCTTATTCACCACAAAAAAGTTGGCTTCATCCTTGAGATGCAAGGCTGGTTCAACAAACGCAAATCAATAAATGTAATCCAACACATAAACAGAACCAAAGACAAAAACCACATGATTATCTCAATAGATGCAGAGAAGGCCTTCGACAAAATTCAACAGTGCTTCATGCTAAAAACTCTCAACAAACTAGGTGTTGATGGAACATATCTCAGAATAATAAGAGCTATTTATGACAAGCCCACAGCCAATATCATACTGAATGGGCAAAAACTGGAAGTATTCCCTTTGAAAACCGGCACAAGACAAGAATGCCCTCTCTCACCACTCCTATTCAACACAGTATTGGAAATTCTGACCAGGGCAATCAGGCAAGAGAAAGAAGTAAAGCATACTCAGTTAGGAAAAGAGGAAGTCAAATTTTCTCTATTTGCAGATGACATGATTGTATATTTAGAAGACCCCATCATCTCAGCCCAAAATCTCCTTAAGCTTATAAGCAGCTTCAGCAAAGTCTCAGGATACAAAATCAATGTGCAAAAATCACAAGCATTCCTAGGCACCAGTAACAGACAAACAGAGAGCCAAACCGTCAGTGAACTCCTATTCACAATTGCTACAAAGAGAACAAAATGCCTAGGAATACAACTTACACGGAATGTGAAGGACCTCTTCGAGGAGAACTACAAGCC